TGGCACTTTTTGATGGAACGGGCTAATGTTAGCACGGGCTAATGCTAGCACCTTTTGAGGAATGACTTTAATCGAGAAGGAGGACTAAAAGCATGTGCTTTTCTGGTTCAAAGAAGGCAAGACAAGAAAAAAAAAATCACTTTTAACCTCCGGGTTTTTCAACAGGTTTTAACTAAAGATCAGCTAAAAATCAGATGATGATGCCTTTACATGTTGAAAGTTGTGATTTGGGGGATAAGAGGAAGATTCATTCAATATGGTTTGTTTGGAAGAGCAAAAACAGAGACCTTCTCCCCTTGCTTATAGAGCAACACATCATAGAAAGGTTGCATCAGGTTGAATCATCCTGATGCAACCTTGTAAATCTTAGTATGGAGAAAGTGACGGCTTGGGTTTGTTTTACCTCAAAGTCACCCCTGGTCACTTCTCTGTGCACCAACATATGGCAGAGTCATGTGAGGCCGCCTAAGGCTTGGCCCAAACAAACTGATCGTAAAGAAAATCAAACAAAACACCGCAGCATATTCAACAACAGCAAAGACAAATGGCACACTTATGGCGGCCTAGTCAAAGTCCAGACCTCAGTTCGATTGAAGGGCTGTGGTGGATCCTCCCGGAGGTGTACTAAAATTGTTAACATAAATATCTATTGTTAGATCTATTCATTTGTAGATTTCTAGAGGTCTTAACAAATGTTTTCTAGGCCTTCCAGATGTGTTTCTGTCATAAAATATATATTTTGAGGATAGATTCTAGCCTCACATGACAATAGCTAGAGTGTGGTGCCCAAAGATTGAGCCCCAACCTAAAAAAACACAATTTGAAGTCATTAGAAAACCATCCTGTCTGCAGTTATTCAGGCACTGCTTGATTCTTCTGTGTTCTAAATCTCAACCAAGGTCATGACAAATAGATCATGACTAAAGCAGACGGATGTTGAGCATTCGGTGGTCGGATAGACGATCTTTATGTATAGTTGAATGTTTCTGAAAACATACTGTAAATTGTGTCTGCATCATAAAGACTGAAGTTGGGAGGAATAAGGGAGCAGAACCATTGTTTCATCTGTTAGCTTCTTTAAGGGGAGACACAATTATACTTTATCTTTTCTGTTTATAGCGGGTAGAAGCAAGGAGGTAGACGTCTTGCCTCCAATAAACCCTCCATAGCTAGTGTGAAAATCTCAACTTGTTTCCATCATTAGATAAACAATCTTGGTTCTTATTTTTGATGGAGAACAATATCTGTACTTTGAGTACCCAACCCTCCCACCTACAGTGGGTTAGCACTGGGATAGATACCTTTATAATTGTCTTACATCCCGGTGGCTGATTCAAAAAAGTACCAAAAACATTCCTTAAAGATATTGGTCCATACGGACATTATGGCATCATGAAATTGCTGCTGATTTTTTTCTCTTTGCATTAAACCCAAAATATGCTCTCTTAGATTGTGATCTGGTTACTGTGGAAGTTAAGCCGGGCATTTGCTGTAAGAGTCGCTGCCCTTTTCTCTTACAACCACCTCCCAATAAGGAATTGTAAGTTTGAAATTCAGTCGGTCCACGTGAGGCAGACATGGGCAATGCAGAGTCAACAAGTCATCTCCATGTCATGTATTTAATCTACCCAGCCAATTAACCAGGTGAGTCCAATCTGCACAGGTTAATTCATGGTGAAGATTGGACTCACCTGCTTCAGTTGCTGGGTAGAACCAATACATGACATGGAGATGACTTGTTGACTCCACATTGCCCATGTCTGACGTGAGGTGATTGTGGCCAAATCCTGCTGTTAAAACAGAGCCACGAGCGTCTATGAGCCAATTCACCAGAATCTCGTGCACTGCCCCTGTGCAAACAAGGGAGTTGTTGTTCTTCCAGACTACCAAGTCAGATCAGAGCCAAATCTTGGTGCTTAGTCCGATGTGTAGTGTCTGGACATACAGTGTGAGCAGTTAGATCGCATCAGATAGTCGGGCTGTACTGTGTAAGAATATACATTGTGAGCTGTGGACTTTTAAACCGTGTGGCTTCGTAATAGAATTTGAGCTGTAGCTGAGTACAACGATTGACAATATCGTACAGTGTATGCCCTGCCTTAGATAAACACAATGACCCTCTCTCATTTGTGAAACTTTTTGGAGAGGATTTAAACTTTGTACTATGGTGCATTATCCTGCTGCCATCATAACAAGGTAGACAGGGTCAGTAACACATTAAGGTAGTCCAATCTGCACAGATTAAATCAGATTGGACTCACCTGGTTCAGTGGTCGGGCAGAACCAATACGTGACATAGAGATGACTTGTTGACTGCAAATTCCCCACCTCTGGTCTGAGGTTTTAAAATATGGTCAGATTTTGTCCCCACACCTTTACTCCACCATTAACAGCCTCCACGGTTGATACAAAGCAGGACGCACCCAGACTTTCTTGCTTTTTAACGATACTATATACGTAAATGGTAATTTCTTATTCCTGTTCTTAACTTGGCGGCGCTCTGGCACATTTACCTCAAGATCTACATGTTTTAAATTCAGAGATGATCCTCCACATAATGTGGTTGTAAAAGGTGATTATCCAGGCTATGATTGTGTTCCTGTCACTTGAAACCAGTACAACCATTGTGCTTTCTTCCAAACCATTAAACCGAGAGAGATCTGCAAAGGAGTATTCCAGATTTTTAAATTTTCAAACTACATTTCCCTATTTCAGCAAATGGTTTAGATGCCTAAATGCATTGAGTAGCTGCAATGGGATTTGTGTTTCCGAGCAACTGAACAGGTGAACCTACTATAGAGGGCGGTGAGCGTATCCTGATGAACTCAGCGGTAAAGTTACTTTAAATACGGGCGAGGGATGAAAGCAGTTTGTTTTATTGCAGAGAACAGAGGGTCTTTCATCATTCTCAAAGCAAGAAGGATGGGAACATTGGGACAGAGCGCAAAGTGTGACCCCGGGGCCCGGACTTTCTGCCACAGATGAGAGGTGGACACAAAGGCAACAAGGAAGCAGGAATAAAAGAGGTCATGACTTGGGTAGCAGCTTTTTAAGCCCACACAGGATGCATTTAAAGACGGATTCCTTTTACAAATAGTCTCACATATTATGGTAGATTTCATGATGCTTCTGTGATGGTGAGCAAACAGAAACCATGAGACTTCCACCTTCATGCCTCACAGTAGGTATAAGGTTCCCTTTGTGGAATGCATGATTTGGTTCCATCAAACAAGCACTTTTATCTGAAACAAGTACTTCCTTCCATGACATGTCAGGGAACAATCCGTTAAATTTTGGTAATCAGCCAGATTAAGATTCAGATACAGGAATTTATTAAAGGATTTTTTAACATTGTTTAAAGGGGGTATTTGGCAGAGCAATAGGCTCCCAAACAAACCAGTGGATGGCAGCAGTGAATATTGACAGTTTCAGCATCAAGTAATTAGCCTGACGTCGTCCTACTCAATTCTAGTCAGAATGAGTCTGATGCTGCTCCATAGAGCTGTGATTATGGGGCGTGTTTCGAACGAACCAGGAAAAAAAATGCCTCTGCACTCAATTGGATAGACCTACAACCAATAAGAGCAACGGAGTGCGTGACGTATGTTAAGCCACGCATAGTTGTTGTCAACAAAAATCAAAGCGTGCAGTTTCAGGCCTAGAATAAGAAGATGAGCCTTGATGGCGTTTCTCTGTTCCTCTTTTAAAATTAATTTGCTGTCGATATCTTCTAGAACAGACCTAATAGCAGAATCTACTCACCTCAACTCTCCAGCGGCAGCCATTGTTGTTGTCACCCAAGCGCGCTTTGGTCACGTGGTTGATTACGTTACTGTTGATCATCTGTCCATCATCGTATAAAGCCCGCCCTGACAATTTGATTGGATCACCAGAGAGTGGGCAATCATGGAGCAGAGCCAGACCGAACTTCCCGACCTCAAACCTTGTGGGCGGGACTAAGTTCGGAATGGCACCCAGGCTATCAAGTATTATACTAGAGACAAAAATACAAAAAGGCCAACAGAGAGAGTCTGGCTGGTTTGTTAGCAGGATTACTTGAAAAGTTATACACGGATTTTGATGACATTTTATCAGTGGTGCGCCTCATGTCGTTTGTAACGATCCAGACATTTTACTTTCAATTTGTTTTTTGTTTTTTTAACAGTGTCCTGTCTGGCGATGTGGCAATAAGAATAATTGTATTGATCCCAAAAAAGAGCCCAAATGGTTTTACTTTCACAAGTGGAGCAGTACGGCTATCGCCATATTTTACACTTGATTCATGCATAGAAATTGCTTTATTATAATTATGCATGGAATTTTACAGATTATATGGACACTGCAATGCAGGTAGAACAGGAAAGGAAAAACAGGAAAAAAGGAGAAAAGATGAAAGAAAGAGGAGATAAAAGTGAGATAACAATAAAACATCTTCAGTCTCGTTCATCAAATGCAAAGAGATGTAAAATTAACATTTTGTTAATTCCATAAAAGTTCAAAAAATATCCATTGGACTTGGTTGCCAAGATTTGAAGACGTTTTGCCATCTCTTCAAATCTTGGAAACCAAGTCCAGTGGATATTTTTTTAACTTTTACAGAATGGCTATGACCTGGATGACTGAGAAACTTCATCAGTTTCATATTTTTAAAAAGGTTTATTTTGTAGGTGAATATTAATGAAAGGTGTAAATTAGCCATGAACAAACTGGGTGTGATTAGTAAATAGGTAAAGGATCCGCAGATTTTTATCTGAGCAACAGAAGAAGCAAAACAACAACTTTGAAGTCATTTTTAATCCCATGAGGCTGATTTCAAAAAAGATGTGGATCAATGCTGAGAGAAGGCGGACAGATGTTCTTGGATCATGAAAATGGTCATTGCGCACCAAAGGTCGAGTCTTCACTCCCAGAGAGAGAGAGAGAGGGAGAGAGGGAGGGAGAGAGAGAGAGAGAGGGAGGGAGGGAGAGAGAGAGGGAGGGAGAGAGAGAGATGGGGAAGAGGAGGGTGGACGGATCGTGTCTCATCCAGAGAGATTTTCAGCGGCGGCTGAACGCTTCAACCGCGCAGGAACATTTTCCCAAGCATCTCTCTTTCATCCCAGTTTTCTTTTTTCTCTCCTCCTCCTGCGGGGTTAGAGGTGACTTTCCCCTGAGAAAGCAACACATGCCTCCCCGCAGAGAGGAGCCACGGCTGTGATTCAGCTCCGTCTCCATCTCCGTCCTGCCGGGAGGATGTGCGCGCCGCCGCTCAACAAGTCTCCGCTGTTTCTCCGCGGTTAACCGTTGATGGCGGCGGGATGGAGATAGCCTTGGTGAGTTTTGAGAGCGGCGGCGCTAAGGGGAGCGGCGGCGGAGGCAGCAATGCCGAGGAGAGCTGCAGGAACGCGCTGGAGGTCCCTCAGCCGGGGTTCGTTCAAAGTGGACTGGGAGAGGAGTTCGGTAAGGAGCTGAACACCCGGGGGAGCCCCCAGCAGCAGCAGCAGCAGCAGCTGCGCAGCCCCTGGAAGATCAACGACATGAACAACACTCTGAGCTGCAGCGAGAACGCCATGGATGCGCTTTTACGCGCGGACCACAGTCCCCACCTGTTCGATGAGGACATGCTGGACATGGACATGGACACGGGGAGCAACGAAAGGGTTCTCATCAACATAGCCGGGCTCAGGTATGAGACCCAGCTGGGCACTTTGAACCAGTTCCCGGACACTCTGCTGGGAGACCCGGCCAAGAGGATCAAGTACTTCGACCCGCTCCGGAACGAGTACTTCTTCGACCGCAACAGGCCCAGCTTTGACGGGATCCTTTACTTCTACCAGTCCGGGGGGAAGATCCGCAGACCCGTCAACGTTTCCATCGACGTGTTCGCGGATGAGATCCGGTTCTACCAGCTGGGAGAGGAGGCCATGGAGAGGTTCAGGGAGGATGAGGGCTTCATCAAGGAGGAGGAGAAGCCGCTGCCGCAGAATGAGTTCCAGAAGCAGGTCTGGCTCATCTTCGAGTACCCGGAGAGCTCCAGCCCGGCGCGGGGCATCGCCATCGTGTCCGTCATCGTCATCACCATCTCCATCATAACCTTCTGCTTGGAGACGCTGCCAGAGTTCCGGGACGAGCGGGAGCTGGCGGTGAGCAGCCGGCTGGACAACAGCACCGCGCCGCGGCCCTCCCTCAACATCACCGACCCTTTCTTCATCGTGGAGACCACCTGCGTCATCTGGTTCACCTTTGAGCTGATCGTCCGCTTCTTCGCCTGCCCCAGCAAGTCCGAGTTCTCCAAGACCATCATGAACATCATCGACATCATGTCCATCATGCCTTACTTCATCACGGTGGGCACGGAGCTGGCGGAGCAGCAGGGCCAGGAGCACCAGAACGGCCAGCAGGCCATGTCCCTGGCCATCCTCCGGGTCATCCGCCTGGTCCGGGTCTTCCGGATCTTTAAGCTCTCCAGGCACTCCAAGGGGCTGCAGATCCTGGGTCAGACCCTCAAGGCCAGCATGCGGGAGCTGGGGCTGCTCATCTTCTTCCTCTTCATCGGGGTCATCCTCTTCTCCAGCGCCGTGTACTTTGCAGAGGCGGACGAGCCCGAGTCCCACTTCTCCAGCATCCCGGACGCCTTCTGGTGGGCCGTGGTCACCATGACAACGGTGGGCTACGGCGATATGCGGCCGGTGACGGTCGGGGGGAAGATCGTGGGCTCCCTGTGCGCCATCGCCGGCGTGCTGACCATCGCGCTGCCGGTTCCGGTCATCGTGTCCAACTTCAACTACTTCTACCACCGGGAGACGGACCAGGACCAGTCCAGCCTGAAGGACGAGCCCAGCGGGGCCCCGGAGAGCCCGGAGGTGAAGCGCAAAGGCAGCAGATCCTCGGTGAAGTCTCAGGATGTGGAGAAGAGCGCGGCTGACGGCGCGTCGGTGGAGAAGGCGAACATTAAAGCCAACAGCAGCTCGGACTTCAAGAAATCCCTTTACGCGTTCTGCCTGGACACCCGGGAGACGGACCTGTAGCCCTGCAGGACCCAGACTCGGTCTGATTCATGAAGTCCTGCAGTTCAAACTGAAACCCACACTTTAATCCCACACCCATCAGTGCATGCATGCAGCAGAGCGGCCCTTTAACCCCGCAGGAGGACATCCATGAACTCTGCGGGCTGCAGGATGAATTAGTGGGAAATGGGACATCAGGCCTCTGCAGAGGATAATCAGGGACAATCAGGACTCGGGATAATTACTGGACATGGCGGAGGATTAACCACACTCTGTGTACATAATGTAGGAAGAGTGAAAGAAAAAAAAAATACTTTATTCCTTCCTACACTTAGTCATGATGTTTACACCAAGCAGATGTGTACATATTCCCCACATCAGGATGGAGATTTAAGGATTTGGTGTTTTTTCTCTTTTTTGAAGGAAGGAAGTCTATTTTTGAGATGCAGACACGTTTTATGGAAAAGATTACTTTTTTTGTTTGGTTTTCTGGGAGTGGACCTCAGCCTTGTTGTTTACGATCCATTTATTCTAAAGAACTGTTTTATTTCTAAGGGGAAAAAAGGACATAAAATAAGAAAAAATAAAGAAAAGCCAAGAAGAGACAAGCAGAGAGCATCAGGAGCAACAAACTCTGACAGGTTAGTCCTAAACTCTAACCTTCTTATTTAATCTAAACTGTTGGTTCTAACATGTTCGCTGCTTCTTCAGGAATAATCCTAATTACAGGAATTTCAGGTTTTCCTTTGAATCGATACAACTTGATTTGGTGTTTGAAACATAATAAGCATGAAATGCATCTAAATAAAAATGATGTAAAAAATGTAGCATTTGCCAAACCTCTGTCATTTAAGCTCCTTAGAATAGAATAAATAAAAGCTTATTAAAGACTAAATCTGGACTTTATGGAAGAGAAGAAAGAAAAAAAGTCATAATTTTATCATATTTATCTCAACCCTTGTGTGTGTGGGGGGGGGGGCAAACATGCAGAGGACATTTTTTTTTAAAATAGCCTTGAAACAAACTCTACGTATCAACCTGAATGTTAAGTTCCCACAACAATGGAGCATGGTGGTGGCACTATCATGATGTGGGGATGATCTTCAGGATGAAGAGTTAATGTAATTAGATGCTGCATTGATAGTAAACCTTGCTATCCTGGAAGAGAAGTTGTTAGAGGCTGCGTCCGATTTTATGATTTCAAATAAAAAATGTAAAAACTAAAAATTTTTATATCAAAATATAAAAACAAAGTGGCTTTAATTTTCAAAGCTGCTATATTTAACCTACTTCAGGTGTTCCTTTTGCTGTAAATTATGCAGCTGAAAAAAGATGCGTGCCAATAAAGAAGAGGAGAATTTTATGAAAAGATATTCAGCAAAAAATTAATAAGTGCTCAGTTTTATTTTGAAAACAGAGGAAGAAAAACAAATAAGATGAAATACAAGACTACAATAATAAAAAAATAAAAAAAAGGAAATCTTATATCTGATGAGGTTCATTTCAGTAACGGTGTCTGTCTGCTGTTACCACGTCTGTCATCCAGCATATTTGAGTGACAAAGCGGCCTAGTCAAAGCCCAACTGAGAATTTTTTAATTTCACTTTTATTTTATTTGCTAATTAATTTGGGATCACGGTCAGAAAAGATGGGGCTCAAAGAGCAAAGCTGCAGATCCAAGAATCATCAGGAAGGCAAAAATAATTCAAATTCAGAGATCAAGAAAGAAAATATCACATCAAATTAGGAAGTTTAAAAAGTAACACCATCATTTACAAAATGAAAAAAAAAAAAAAAAGTTTGCTATGTTTGTTGATTTAAATCTATTTTCTTATTTCTCTGGTTAAATGTTTCCACAGTCTGTGCTTGTTTTTAGTTCTGGGTGGAAGTTATTATGCTCTTATGTTCAGTCTCATTTAAGTTTCCTTTAAGTTAATTAGTATCCTTAATTAGTCAAAAAATATCTGCCCAATGGCAGATTTCATCCATACATTTGAATATCAACTGGAGTAAATACAATATGCATTTTTAAAGTGATTATTTCATTTTCTAAGAGTGAAATATATTCAAAGCAATCCGATTATAAAAGGAACATAGGAATCAATAATTCGCTGTGATCAACGACAGGTTTTTAGCTCAGCTTTAGATGTTACACAATCTGAAGCTATTCCGCTGAGAAACAAAGTGGAAAAAAGAGATTTTTAGTAGCGATGATGTGTATTAATCTGAGTTAAGATAACATTTGACCACAAATAACAATAACGCGCATCTAAAATTCACAAAATTTTTTTTCGGTTTTATTGAAAAACGATTTGCTGTGTATATGATACATGAGTATATAAATAAACATCATTGGACCAATCAGACACGGTAGTGGTGATATGGTGATCAGGAGCTACTTTGCTGCTTCATGTCCCTATTGTGGCCTGGCCTAGTCAAAGTTCAGGCATCAATTTGATTTGATGTTTAAAACCCTTTAATGAAACTACATCTAAATATGTCTGTAAAGTTGGACTTAAGGTCCTCTGCGGTGTATAAATGCCCCAGCTTGTTATCAATGATGGTATTTAAATGAAGGAAGTGAAACAAATACAAAACAAATTGGTTTGAGACGATTAAGGGACGTACTTAAGAATGCAGAAAACCAAAACAATATGAATTTCTCAGGCAATCTGATGCTTTTAAAGGGATTTGCTCTGCTTCTCTTTCCTTGAATTTAAGTTAGAAAGATTCTGCTGCAAATTAAAATGTACAATTAGGCTCATTAAGATGCAGGCAGGTACCCTGAGCAAGATGGCGGCCCCACAACACTCAAAAGAATCGGTTTATTATCCCTGACTCTTCTTAAGGTTGTTAGAACTGGACAAAGTTCAGCAGGTGGAAAGTGGATTTGCTCTTCCCGTTTCACTTTAGTGAGACGCAGCAGAGGACAGATGGACTCTGCAGGCGCGTCGAGCCGTCAGCTGTCGCAGCATTTTCCCCGCAGCAGATGGGAGCTTCCTGCACTTTTGTCCTCAGAGACCTCCAAGTGCTCCGAACAGGCACAGAAGCGCCTTGAAACCCGGAACGCTTTGGATATTTGTGAAGCATTTAATGAAGCAAACTGCTGACGGATTTGAGTTCTCATCATTTAAAGAGATGTTTTCATCGTTCACACTGAACTGGAAAAATAAAAAAAGGGAAAACCTCTGGTTTTTATATAAATCCTCGAGTAAAAAGAAAACAAAGCACCTCTGGCTCCAGTTGTTTAATGAAATCAGCTTCAGACGGCATCTGTTCCATTAGGACCCAAGCCTTCAGAATCAATACCGCTCTTTGGTTTCCCTCCTTCTAACAGATTTTAGAGAAACGATTTGCCTGTTAGCGGATTTATTGTCCACTTTATTCAGTCACTACTCCTACAATTACAGATGTGTGTTTCGGCCAGTTAAAACAGGCAATTAAACCTACTTTTACAGAAACTTTCCAGAACATTCAGGCTTCCCCGGATATGAAGATATCTTACTTGGAACATTCTGGCTTCTTTACAAGAACTTATGGGGCAACTTTTAGAACCCTGTCTTACTTCAGCAGAACCGTTACAGCAGAGGTCCCAGATTAGCGGACTGTGATCCGGACCCAACCTGCTGGCTAATCTGGACCCAACCTGATTTAAACATTAATAAATTACCACATGTTGTGCGACTGCAGTGTCTAACTTCTCTTGCTCCTCTTCTCCTGTTAATACGGTAAAGCCCTGGGGAGCGTCCGGCTCCAGGCTGCACGTGATCCAAATGAGCCAATGAGCTGTCAGTCTGGGTTGCTGCTGCTGCTACTTTTAGACACAGCAGGCAAACCTGTGGCAAGCCGGGCGATGGGAAAGAAGGAGAAGACCATGAGAAAAAGAGAGCAGAGAAAGTGTGGACTGCTGGAAGAACTGCGGTGAACTGGTGAAAGAAAAGTGAAATGGCGTGCTCAAAGATGACCCTGAACATTTAGAGGATGTTTGGCTCAACCTGCTGCTGTGAAGCAGGATTCTCCACCATGAACAGAATCAACAATAAATCTGGATCCAGGCTCAAAATGAGCTCCTTGATATGTGCTTGAGAATGGCTTAGTCTCCGGTTAAACCCAGGTTTAAAGCCTTGCAGGGCAGCCTAAAGCCCACTGCCAACATTAAGACAGAAAAAAGAAAGAAAAGAACAAACCATCAGTTCAGGGGTTTGAGAAAATATGGGAATCAGGAAATTGTCTTTATACCAAACTGAACGATTGTTGTTCTCTACTTTTAAAATTTAGATTTTAAAAAGGAAAAATCTTCTATTTCTCATATTTTGTATTTACAAATTCAAAGAATAACATGGAGGCATAAACACCTCATTTTATTTCAGTGGTAAATTCTGTTTAAAGTAACAGATCATTAAAAATGTCTCCAGATCTTTACTGGTTGATGATTTTCTTTATTCGGACCCTGCTGATTTTTAATTGGTTACTGCTGCTTAAGAGTAATGGAGCCTAGGTGGAAGTTCAACTGAATGAACTGATTACTCGCCTTCATGCCTCCGACACCAGCTAATCAGCTTTGAACCACACCTGCATGAAAGCCCAACCAGCATCCAGAGTTGATCTTAAAAGGTCTCCAATCCACAACTCCTTCTGCTACGCAAAGCGCAGGCAGTGATTGCGACATGTCTGACTTCAATTTAGATGACCCAGATTCAACCCCCCTCCAGCCCCTCCTCCACCATCATAGATAAAGCTTCATCAGAGTTGAATTCTGACTCTCACTGCACCAAACATGTCTCATTTCAACCGGTCTGGCAGCAGACCGCCATGTTGTGCCTGGTTCTGCCAGAGGTTTCTTCCCAAAGGGGAGTTTTTCCTCTCCACTATCGCTTCATGCTTGCTCATCGTGGACAGGTTCTCTCTACCTGTTTTATCCAGCTGGACTTCCATCTTCCAGGTCCCTGAGTGAAGCTCTAGTATCAGCTCATGCAGTGGATCTCTCCATACAGCTCAAGCACATCATCTCGCCAACCAGCAGTCTTTGGACTGACCAACTTTATCCATCTCCACCACCAGTTAAGGGCCTGGGGGGGAAACCTACCTGTTCTTTGCTCCTTTTCATGCATATCAAGCTAAATTCAGCGCCATGTTTCATGCCAACGTACGGAGGCGTGTTGCATTCACCAAACAAAAAGAAATCAGACAGCTTATCTCATAATTACGAGATATTATCTCATAATTATGAGATCTTATCTTGTCAACAGCTCCATTAATACAGATTCCATTTGGTTTTAGTTTTTCATGTGAATCGACGTGCTGCATGAAGTTGGGACCTGGTTGTTTTAAACGATTCTGAAGCCTCAGCTGTTCTCCTGGAGGATCTAGGATTTTGAGAAGGTACCGGCGGACAGTTCTTTATCAAACCAGCAAACCAGCTGGAATGCATTTCAGATGCATTAATATATAACCATAAAGCATCCTATGCTGGTTCAATTGCTCCTGCAGGAACAGTGCGACTTCCAGCAGGTCAGAGTGGGCATTTTCGCCTAAACAATCATAAGGATTTACCGCGCAGTGCTGACAAATTAAAACTAATTTCATCTACAATGAGGAAACTCAGTATTTCCCAGTTTCACAAACCTAAAAGGACATAAAA